GCTCCAAGAATTCTTCATCCTCCTCTGCCCTTCCCAAGCCTCATGTTGCAGGGAAGAAGAGGGGAGGAGCAGAGGAGCCATCCAGTTGTTCCCAGGAGAGGCTGGGGAGGTGGGAGCGTAGCTGCTCTGAGCTACTGTGCTCTTTCTGCTCTTCCCCTCCTCCATCAGAATGGTGTGGGCTTTTGAGGGGAGGGGCAGCGAGCTCTGCCTGCTTTCTGCACCAGCTCTGATTCACTGCTGTACTCCAGGAGGTGGGCAAGTAAGTGGTGAAGGCAGCTAGTCATAGAGGGTTTTCTCCAGTTTGTACTAAAAATGTGCACCCTTCAGCAACCCATAAAAAGAAAAGCAGTACTTGTGGCACCTTAGAGACTAACAAATTTATTTGAGCATAAGCTTTCATGAGCTACAGCTCACTTCATTGGATACATTCAATGGAAAATATAGTGGGGAGATTTTATATACACAGAGAACATGAAACAATGGGTGTTACCATACAGACTATAACAAGAGTGATCAGGAAAGGTGAGCTATTACCAGCAGGAGGGAGTGGGGTCGGGGGAACCTTTTGTAGTGATAATCAAGTTGGGCCATTTCCAGCAGTTGACAAGAACAGTAGGAGGGGAAATAAACAAGGGGAAATAGTTTTACTTTGTGTAATGACACATCCACTCTCAGTCTTTATTCAAGCCTAAGTTAATGGTATCCAGTTTGCAATTTAATTCAAATTCAGCAGTCTCTTGTTGGAGCCTGTTTTTGAAGTGTTTTGTTCAAGAATTGCCACTTTTAGATCTGTAATTGAGTGACCAAAGAAATTGAAGTGTTCTCCAGCTGGTTTTTGAATGTTATAATTCTTGACGTCTGATTTGTGTCCATTTATTCTTTTACGTAGAGACTGTCCAGTTTGATCAATGTACATGGCAGAGGGGCATTGCTGGCACATGATGGCATATATCACATTGGTAGATGCGCAGGTGAACGAGCCTCTGATAGTGTGGCTCATTGTGGATGTTATTAGGCCCTATGATGGTGTCCCCTGAATAGATATGTGGACACAGTTGGAAATGGGCTTTGTTGCAAGGATAGGTTCCTGGGTTAGTGGTTCTGTTGTGTGGTGTGTGGTTGCTGGTAAGTATTTGCTTCAGGTTGGGGGGCTGTCTGTAAGCAAGGACTGTCCTGTCTCCCAAGATCTGTGAGAGTGATGGGTCATCCTTCAGGATAGGTTATAGATCCTTGATGATGTGTTGGAGAGGTTTTAGTTGGGGGCTGAAGGTAATGGCTAGTGGCGTTCTGTTATTTTCTTTGTTGGGCCTGTCCTGTAGTAGGTAACTTCTGGATACTCTTCTGGCTCTGTCAATCTGTTTCTTCACTTCAGCATGTGGGTATTGTAGTTGTAAGAACGCTTGATAGAGATCTGGTAGGTGTTTGTTTCTGTCTGAGGGGTTGGAGCAAATGCGGTTGTATCGTAGAGCTTGGCTGTAGACAATAGATTGTGTGGTGTGGTCTGGATGAAAGCTGGAGGCATGTAGGTAAGTATAGCGGTCAGTAGGTTTCCAGTATAGGGTGGTGTTTATGTGACCATTGCTTATTAGCACCGTAGTGTCCAGGAAGTGGATCTCTTGTGTGGACTGGTCCAAGCTGAGGTTGATGGTGGGATGGAAATTGTTGAAATCATGGTGGAATTCCTCAAGGGCTTCTTTTCCATGGGTCCAGATGATGATGATGTCATCAACGTAGCACAAGTAGAGTAGGGGCATTAGGGGACGAGAGCTGACGAAGCCTTGTTCTAAGTCAGCCATAAAAATGTTGGCATACTGTGGGGCCATGCGGGTACCCATAACAGTGCCACTGATTTGAAGGTATACATTGTCCCCAAATGTGAAATAGTTATGGGTGAGGACAAAATCCAGCCACCAGGTTTGCAGTGACATTATCGGGGATACTGTTCCTGACGGCTTGTAGTCCATCTTTCTGTGGAATGTTGGTGTAGAGGGCTCCTACATCCATAGTGGCTAGGATGGGTTTTTCAGGAAGATCACCGATGGATTGTAGTTTCCTCAGGAAGTCAGTGGTGTCTCGGAGATAGCTGGGAGTGCTGGTAGCATAGGGACTGAGGAGGGAGTCTACATAGCCAGACAATCCTGCTGTCAGGGTGCCAATGCCTGAGGTGATGGAGCGTCCAGGATTTCCAGGTTTATGGATCTTGGGTAGCAGATAGAATACCCCTGGTCGGAGTTCTAGGGGTGTGTTTGTGCGGATTTGTTCTTCTGCTTTTTCAGGGAGTTTCTTGAGCAGATGGTGTAGTTTCTTTTGGTAACCCTCAGTGGGATCAGAGGGTAATGGCTTGTAGAAAGTGGTGTTGGAGAGCTGCCTAGCAGCCTCTTGTTCATATTCTGACCTATTCATGATGACGACAGCACCTCCTTTGTCAGCCTTTTTGATTATGACGTTAGAGTTGTTTTTGAGGCTGTGGATGGCATTGTGTTCTGCACGGCTGAGGTTATGGGGCAAGTGATGTTGCTTTTCCACAATTTCAGCCCCTGTACGTCAGCAGAAGCACTTTATGTAGAAGTCCAGTCTGTTGTTTCAACCTTCAGGAGGAGTCCACCCAGAATCCTTCTTTTTGTAGTGTTGGTAGGAATCATAGAATCATAGAATATAAGGGTTGGAAGGGACCACAGAAGGTCATCTAGTCCAACCCCCTGCTCGAAGCAGGACCAATTCCCAGTTAAATCATCCCAGCCAGGGCTTTGTCAAGCCTGACCTTAAAAACCTCTAAGGAAGGAGATTCTACCACCTCCCTAGGTAACGCATTCCAGTGTTTCACCACCCTCTTAGTGAAAAAGTTTTTCCTAATATCCAATCTAAACCTCCCCCCACTGCAACTTGAGACCATTACTCCTCGTTCTGTCATCTGCTACCATTGAGAACAGTCTAGAGCCATCCTCTTTGGAACCCCCTTTCAGGTAGTTGAAAGCAGCTATCAAATCCCCCCTCATTCTTCTCTTCTGCAGGCTAAACAATCCCAGCTCCCTCAGCCTCTCCTCATAAGTCATGTGTTCCAGACCCCTAATCATTTTTGTTGCCCTTCGCTGGACTCTCTCCAATTTATCCACATCCTTCTTGAAGTGTGGGGCCCAAAACTGGACACAGTACTCCAGATGAGGCCTCACCAATGTCGAATAGAGGGGAACGATCACGTCCCTCAATCTGCTCGCTATGCCCCTACTTATACATCCCAAAATGCCATTGGCCTTCTTGGCAACAAGGGCACACTGCTGACTCATATCCAGCTTCTCGTCCACTGTCACCCCTAGGTCCTTTTCCGCAGAACTGCTGCCTAGCCATTCGGTCCCTAGTCTGTAGCTGTGCATTGGGTTCTTCCATCCTAAGTGCAGGACCCTGCACTTATCCTTATTGAACCTCATCAGATTTCTTTTGGCCCAATCCTACAATTTGTCTAGGTCCTTCTGTATCCTATCCCTCCCCTCCAGCGTATCTACCACTCCTCCCAGTTTAGTATCATCCGCAAATTTGCTGAGAGTGCAATCCACACCATCCTCCAGATCATTTATGAAGATATTGAACAAAACCGGCCCCAGGACCGACCCTTGGGGCACTCCACTTGATACCGGCTGCCAACTAGACATGGAGCCATTGATAACTACCCGTTGAGCCCGACAATCTAGCCAGCTTTCTACCCACCTTATAGTGCATTCTTCCAGCCCATACTTCCTTAACTTGCTGACAAGAATACTGTGGGAGACCGTGTCAAAAGCTTTGCTAAAGTCAAGAAACAATACATCCACTGCTTTCCTTTCATCCACAGAACCAGTAATCTCATCATAAAAGGCGATTAGATTAGTCACAGGAAGGTCTCTGTGGGTTAGTATGTTGTTCAGAGGTGTGTTGGAAATATTCAGCAACCCAGTTCATTTCTAGGAAATTTTATTTCCTACGGTTGCAACCTGGAGCATTTCAAGCACGACACAAAACTAACACTCTCATCCAGGTTCTTATCATCTCACATCTCAGTTAGTGCAATGTTCTTTTCTTGCCTCACTCATACCCAGTCAGAATGCTTCTGCAGGGATCATTTTCCTAGCATGTTGCTTTAACCTCATCACCGTTCTCCTTGCTTCCTCCTTCTGGCTCCCTCCTCTCTGTCACATCAAACAAGCTAGTTGTTTGCGCTTTCAGGACCCATCCCAACCCATCCCTACCCTGCCTATCATCTCTCATTCTGTATCAAAAGATTGACTCGCACCTCATTTGGTCTATGATGCCAGTCTCCATTGTCTGCTTGTTAAATTTTTAAACAAGCTCCGTCATGCTTTCTCCATGCAGCCCCTCATGCTTGACAGGAGCTCCCTGTAAACTTCCATAGAGCTGTTACATTCTCCTCCTTCAAAACCCCCTTAAAACTTTCCTTTGTTAGGATGCCTACAAAAGCTGTACCGTGGTTCAGCTGTTGGGGTCCTGAGACCACAACCTATCATGCTGACCAATATTGTCTCATTGTTTTCTTGTATTTGTCAGTATTAATCTATTGTCTCTTGTCTTAAAATTAGCTTTTAAGGTCTTTGGGGCAGGGACTGTCTTCTGTTTGTACAGAATCTAACACAATGGGGTCTGGGTCTATGTCTGCTAAATGCTATGGCTATGATGATGATGATGGTGATAATTAATAATAAGATGAAAATCAGAAATTACAGCCCTTGTGAATAAGAATCATTGCAATCAAGAAATTGATGAAAAATTATTTATAGATGCTCATGATAACAGAGCAATTTGTTGACAATTGCATTACTGTTGTCATTTTTAGCTGTAAGTAGACATTATTTTTACACTGAGTAGTTTAATGACACAAACACAGATATTTACATAAATCCTGGAGGCTAAAACATGTAAAGGGAATTTTAGTGTTTCAGACTTCAGAATAGCGTTGAAAGCATTTATCAAACTTTTATAATGCTTCTTTTTTCTTGTGTTGTATTCTTCAGAGTACCCGAATGGCCTTGGACCATCTAGAGTCTGTTCCTGAGAAACTGAGCCTTTTGGAAGATTTCAGAGATTTTGGAGTGAGAAAGTTTTCACTTGTCTCTCAGTATTTCTGAATTGTTGAGAATAATTGACAACTTCCTGTGTGCAAAGAGAAATCTATCACCTAAAGGACATACAATGAAATCTATACTACAGTATTCCAATTTTAACTCATATAGTAATAATGGGGTTTATTTCCTACTCTTGAGGAATTAGTTGAAAATCGTGGAATTAGTTTAACTTTATACTGGTAAGGAAATACTGGAATAAGAACAGATTTAAAAATTTTATTAAAGCTAACATTTAAAAAATTATATAATATGTAGGTTGGGAAAAGAGTGTTTGTACATTGGGGTATAGTGCTTAGATTAGCCACAAATATAAAGTTAGTTTTTAAGTTATATGACTACATTATGAAACTTTCAGTTTAGGCAAGCCAAGATAATTGAGTAAACTATTTCAAGTACTGTTGCTATAGTCTTTACTGACTTGTTCAAAATAGGTTGATGTGGTGCCTTTTTTATTAGTGATTATAACTTCTGCATCAATAATTAGAAAGAGGCAGGTCTATTCGACCTTGGTGAGGCCTCATCTGGAGTACTGTGTCCAGTTTTGGGCCCCACACTTCAAGAAGGATGTGGATAAATTGGAGAGAGTCCAGCGAAGGGCAACAAAAATGATTAGGGGTCTGGAACACATGACTTATGAGGAGAGGCTGAGGGAGCTGGGATTGTTTAGCCTGCAGAAGAGAAGAATGAGGGGGGATTTGATAGCTGCTTTCAACTACCTGAAAGGGGGTTCCAAAGAGGATGGCTCTAGACTGTTCTCAATGGTAGCAGATGACAGAACGAGGAGTAATGGTCTCAAGCTGCAGTGGGGGAGGTTTAGATTGGATATTAGGAAAAACTTTTTCACTAAGAGGGTGGTGAAACACTGGAATGCGTTACCTAGGGAGGTGGTAGAATCTCCTTCCTTAGAGGTTTTTAAGGTCAGGCTTGACAAAGCCCTGGCTGGGATGATTTAACTGGGAATTGGTCCTGCTTCGAGCAGGGGGTTGGACTAGATGACCTTCTGGGGTCCCTTCCAACCCTTATATTCTATGATTCTAGGTTATTGTTTGATTTTTGTATAGACATAACATCCTGCTGAGTGCCTGTGCTTTCATAACTCAGGTCATTTATTGATAAGCCTGTGAAAACTGCATAATAAGCATAAAAGCTGTTTGAGAGTCAAGTTTGTTCATTATGTTAGGTAGATACATCCTCATATATTGAGGGGAAAATCAAGCACGAAGTTCAGTATGCCAAATTGATTAACATTGTCACATCATCTTGAACATCAAATGCTATCATTACTTTCTATAAATGTATACTCCAATGTTTAGGAGTGCAACTCTTACATGCAAAGTGCGTTCTTTGGAAGGTTACAATATGTGTTCCAGATCTTCCACATTCTGTTTGACAGTTCCAAGGTTCAAGAATGACTTAGGTCACAAGGCACCAATTCAGCAAAACACTTAAGCATGTGCATAAGTTCCACAGAAGCTGATGAGCTTTGCAGAATCAGGTCCCAGCAGAATGAATGTAGTGGTCTCAGTCTCATCCTTAGACTGTTTGCAGCATTGTGCTATTCGTTTTTCCGGCTTAGTGGTGTATTAACAGAGAGATTGTTGTGCATGATGAAGGGAAATGCATTAGTAATACAGAACAATGCAATTTAATGGCCAAATCCTGTTTGCTGTACTCAGACAAGTAGTCCCACTGATTTTAATAAGACTACTCTTTTGAGAGAGGTAAGCAGAATTTCACTTTATTTTATGTACTTCACTTTTTATCTCAGACAAAACATTTCCTAAAGCACTTTACAGAGTTAAATTGTAGCACAAAAGGGAGAGAGAAGAGAGTTTAGAAATTATATTTGAAGGTTGAAGAGCAATTGATAATTGATTAGCTGTAACGATACGGAGAGGCTGAGTGGGGTTGTAATGCTTACATGCTAACCTGGCATACAACCTGGGTTATAAATTCTTTGGCTTACACAGCCCTTGCCATCATCTTTTGCATGTGAAGCACTACACAACTTTTTGGCATTGTAGGAATAATAATGGGTCAAATCATAAAGTCCTTCAGATTTTACTCAGTTACTTGATGGTTTCAATAAGAATTTTGATTGTGTAAGGACTTTAGTATTTCAACAAATAATAACAACAGTAATACAGTTAGCTCTTATTTAACCATCATCAGTAATAATTCACTTTGAATTATTAAATCCATTCATCCCAGTTTTTAACATATCTTCCCAACAAATCCAGAGAAGTGAGTAGAAATAGCTGATGTTTGCAGTAAATTTCCTGTATAGTTTCTATACTTGGTTTCTGACCCAATACCTAGAAAAGTGTGTTTTTTTCACAGCACAGCTGTCAAATAAAGATATATGGTTGTCTTGACTCATGGGGACATACTGACAGTGTTAAGAGAGAGCCTGTCAAGGCTGGTAAGCCTACAATTAGATCTTTTGGGGCTTAATGGCTAAATTGCTGTGCTGTAATTCTTTTACATTCATGAGAGCCACACAAAATTAGGAAATTCTATTCTGAAAACCTGTTGTTGTTTTCGAAAGTAGAGTTGGGAACCCAATAGCTCAAACAAACTTTTAAATCTGAATTATTTAAAACATCCATCAGTGAAAATGCATATTAATTTTCATTTATTTTCTATATAGAATCTTTCATACTGAGAGATCCACAAGCACTGCACACATTATGTTTATGGGGGACACTGCATTCTGGTCTTTAAAGCACAAGGCTGTGAGTTAGGAGACCTTGGGGCTGATTCAGACTTCATCTTGGTTTTACATCAGTGTATGTCTGTTGTCTTCAGTCGAGCTCTGATTAGAGCTGGGTGAATAACTGATATTTTTGGTTCATTGGCAGTTCCTCCTTCTGATGTGGAACAGGAATTTGAACTTGGGTTTCATGCATTGCAGGAGAGCACCCTAGCCACTGAACTATAGGATATTCTGGTCTTTCTTAGTCTCTCCCTGTTGAAGTTCTTCCACTTTTGATGAATAATTAACTAGTAATTGGAGTAGGGACTTGAACTAGAGTCTTCTATATCTTAGGGGAGTGTCCTAACCACCAAGCTATAGAGTAATTCTCACATTTTTTCACTGGCCCAATGACTATTCATTGTTATTCATAGTAGCAATTCATAGTATTTCATAATTTGTTTATAAAAAGTGGAACACCTTCAGTGGGAGAGAGTGAGAGACCCACAACAGAATATCCCATAGCCTAATGGTTAGGCTGTCTCTTGCAAGCTGGGGCTACTCTAGTTAAAATCCCTTCTCCACATTAGGTGGAGGGGGGGAATTGAACCTGGGGCCACATCCCACATGATTGTACTAACCACTGGGCTAAAAATTATGAAGAAGTGCACCAGCAACACCACAACCACCACCTCCTCTGGTAGTTTTGTGAATGGCACCTTACGCTCCAAACATATTTGGCAAATTCAAATCAAATTTGCAAATAGTTTTGGTTCGGCCCAAACTGTATTTTTTGGTGAATAAACTATTTGCTCTGAAAATTTTGCTCTAGCTCTAGTTCTGATATACCCCAGCATGAGTAAGATCAGCATCAGACTCCTGAGCTCTAATCCTGGCAATGTGATTTGGGGCAAGAAACTGCACCTCTCTGTGCCTCACTTTCCTTGTCTGTTAAGTGAAGCTGATGATACCTATCTCACAGAGGAGTTGGAGTGGTTGGGCAATTAGTATTTGTAAAGCACTGTGAGATTACCAAAGGGAAAAGCATTCATTCCAATTATTGTTTCTGATATTTACTCACATCAGCACTGAAATGTAGCCAGTGTTGGGGTGGGGGAGCAAACCCTTCTGCACAAAATGTGAAGAGGGAAAATTTTAGGGAGAGTCACCAGGGCAGACTTTTCAGACAAGTGAAATAAGTTGGGTAATATCCACATAGAACAGTCAGGACCTCCATTTTTAAGGTCCTTTCTGAAGAACCTCTACCCAGTAAACTTGGTGGAACTCATGTGGTCCAGGGAAAATTAGTTTTGTTTTTTTTTAAGTGTAGCTGTGCTCTGAAAAGTGACATTATAAAAATGGCTTTGTGGGGTTCTATGTATGTTGTTTCTCAGTCACTTCATAACAAATTTACCGAGTTTACAAATCTGATTTTTTTTTTGTAACTGCCAGCTTTGAAAATTAAACCTGTGTTCTGAATGTGAAATTGAGTTCCTTCTGACTCGTATAATCATCATCATAAGTACTGAAGGTTCTGAGACTGGAACTTAGTTAATAAATCTTTGGGTGAAATGTGTGCCTGATTAGACCCTAGCTTACTCTTCAGTAGCTGTGTTGACTCTGCAAATTCACCTGTGAGTAAAGGTGGGAAAAACTTTGCTTTTTTCAGTCAAGTATGTAGAGAAATGATGAACTTGTGGTGAAATCACTGAATAAGGATTCAAAAGATCTGATTTCACTCAATGCTTTGTCACAGACATCTTGTGTAATTGTGGGCAAGTCATTTAATCTCTCTGTGCTTCAGCTCCCCATTGGTAAAATGCGGGCAGCATTACTTAATTTCTCCTTCCCTTTGTCTGTTAGATTTTAAGATATTTGGGGCTGAGGCTGTCTCACTATGGATTTGTAGAGCACCTAGCACAATAAAGCCACTAGCTTTGGTGAGGATGTATAGTCATGCAAATAATAAATAGTTATAATGATATCATAATTAAGGCTACGATTTAGTCATGGGTACTTTTAGTAAAAGTAAATGGACAGGTCACCGGCAATAAACAAAAACTCACGGCCTGTGACTTCTCTATGACATATACGCATGACTAAATCTTAGCGGGGGGGGGGGCGGCGGCGGCGGCACTGCTTGGGGGAGGGACCCCGGGAGGGGCCCGGGGCCAGCTGTACCAGCTGCTTGGCTGCTGTAGCCGCCCCCAGAGCCACCCACTCACCGCTGCTTCATCCGTCCTGAGACCACTGCTGGGGGCTGCAAAGAGGTAGCTGCTCCAACCGCCCAGGACCGCTGCTCAGGCAGTCCCCAAGGTCAGCCGCACTGGCCACTGCTTGGGGCCGCCCAAACAGTGGCTGGTGCGTCTGGCCCAGGGGCCGCTGCAGCAGTGGCTGGTGCAACTGGCTGCAGAGCCGCTCCAGCACCAGCCATTGGGCTGTCCCCAGAGCCACCTGAGCAACTGGCCCTGGGGTCAGCCACGCTGGCCACTGCAGAAGTCACAGAGGTTGTGGAAAATCAATGAATCCATGACAGACACGGAGCCCTAATCATAATAGATGGACTTTAATTCAAGGAGAACCTCGGCTGAGTAAGCATTTTTGTGTAGCCGTTTTTCTGACCATAAATATCCACCCTTATTTCCCTGACCCAACACCTCAAGAAAGAATGGTTACAAATACTGGATTTTTAAGAAAAAGCCTCACATATTTACTAAGAGTGCATTTTCCAAGACAGAGAAGTGCTCTCAAAGGGATATTTCTGCTGTACTACAACTTTATCAGATCCTACAAGCTAAGCAGTGTCGTTCCTGATTTGTATTTGAATGGAGACCTCCAAAAAACACCAAAGTACTGTAGAAAATGGTGGTCGTGGGTCTGTATATAGAATTCTTCCTTCCAAGTCCATCTGCCATGGATTGCAGATACGTAATATAGATCTGCTACTCAGGGTTCAGTCCATATCCAGATTTTTAGTTCCGGCCTATCTCTAGTACTGTATGTCTATATAACCCTGTTTGAAAACTTGCCACTTGGTACAATTTGAAGTACAAATTTCAAATATGAATTTGGCAGCATTTGGTCCCTTATGCTGGAGGTTTTTGATTATTTTATATAGGAAGACAAAATTATATTTATTAAATGTGAGTTCTGTCATGTTTCCTACTTGGTATGCCATGTAGGTGGTGGTTGTCATTTAAATGCTTGAAAATTGTGCTTTTATTGAGTGTTTTCCGACATTAAGCCACAATAACTATCTGACTGCAGTATTATAGAGAGCTAGATTTTTAACCCTTTGCTGTGAAGGTAGGGTTTGATTTGAGGTTCTGTTCGTATTTCAGTTTGAAATGATACATTTGAAAATGATGCTTCCATACTATGGGGAAGAATCTCTCTTCTAGATCCTGCTAAGTACAGCAGAGTCCTAGAATATTACAGCACACTTCCAGCAAATTTCACTTTGCTGTAGGATGAACGAGTTAAGCGCTTCAACACTGTTTTTCTCCTTCCAAGGCTAATGTTAGTTGTCCCCCATATGTCAGTGGGAGGGTGGGGTTGGGCAAAAGTAGGCACTTCTCTTTGTAATTACGGTTCACAGCCTCTGTTGCACCCCACTACACTGACTCATTTACGTAGTGCATTGGCTGATTTATCACGTCTGTGTTGCTTTTTTTTTTCTTTTCATTTCCAAGGCATTGTAAGATAGTACCCTCAGAACATCTTTCTTATTTTTTTATGTATTAAGGGAAAGTTACAATAAAACATTAACATATGACATTGTACTTTACTTATTCAGGATCAGGGTAATATTCAAGGAGTTTGACTAAAGATTATGGCTTGCTGGCAGGGGAGCCCTCCTCCTCTGAATACTCTAAAAAGGGTGACCACATTTCTAAATACCTATCCTCTTTTTGGAGCTTCTCTTGTGTACATACTTTCTGTGAAAGTTTTTCCATTATAAGGACACTCCATATTTTACTATACCACAATTCCCTAGAAGGAGAAGTCACATTTTTCCAATATTGTGCAATACAAAGTCTAACAATAAAAAATAAATTAATTTATTGTTCCATTTAAAATGTAGATCCTTTACTGGAGCATTAGGTAAACAGATATGGGGATCTCTAGGAAGCTGGCATTTTGACATGAAGTGAATCTCTTCAATAATTTCCTCTCCAAACTGTCTAATTCCTGGACACAACCACCACATGTGCAAGTATGTTCCCTTTTCCCCACAACCTCTCCAACAGAGCTCCTCCCTAGCAGCAAAAATATGATGGATCTTAACTGGAGTCATATGCAATCAGTAACGTAATTTATAAAAAAAAAATTCTTTCTGAGCTACACAAAAGCAGCTGTATCTAAATACCCCTAACTAATTTTGTTTTTCCCCCATGAAAGAAATAAATTGAATTCCATGATATGATTTAGTGTTTGGGGAAAGTTGTAAGGAATCATTGATTAATCAATATTTATTAGCAAGGGGGAAAAAGCCTTTTATTTTTTAATTTGATTGTTTTCATCTTAACATCCGGGTTCTGTAGAGAGTCTCTTACACCTTTATCACCAGCAGTGCAATAAAGTTCCTATATTTCTCGCCCTGAATGCCAGTATTTAATCAGCCTTTACTGTTTTGAATGTCTATTAGCGATACTCTTATTTACACGAGCAGACTAGGTTTCTTTCTTTAGGTACTCTTTCACCTTACAAAAACAGTCAGACCTTTTTTATGTGTTTCCAGGAATCTCATCGTCAGAAGGAGATAATTGAAGAGAGATACACTAAATACAAGGAAATTGTGGGCTCTCTACAGCAGCAGCTGGAGGATTCAAAGCGCAGAATCAAAAACTTCAAAGTATGTCTGTCTCCTTTCTCTTGTGTTGTTCCCTCTTGTATTCAGTCACCAGCAGATGCACATTTTATGGAGATTAGCTCAAGTTTCAGGCATTGACTAAAATCCTATATGAGCAATGTTTCTGCTTCAGTTATCAGGCCTCGCCTGCCAAGTGTGCAGCCAAATGGGCCCCAGTTCTGTCAGCATTTATTCCCTAGAAACACCCCTTTGCACTTTTTCTATTTGCTTTCCTTCTGGTCCTCTAACTTAAAAGGTAAATTTAGAGATCTAATTTTCCCCAATTCCCCAAGTGAAAAGTACCCTGATCCCAGAGGTGAAAGTAAGCCGGTACGCAAGAGCTGGTGCACCATACCGGAGCAGCCCGGCTTCCCCAGGCGGCAATTTAAAGGGCTTGGGGCTCCCAGCAGTGGCCTCTAGAGCCCTGCTGCTGGAACCCTGTGGTAGCGGCTGTGGGGCTCTGGCGGCTATTTAAAGGACCGGAGCAGGAGAAGCAGGGGAGCCCTGGGCCCTTTAAATAGCCCCCGGAGCCCCGGTTGCTGCTGCTATCCCGGTGGGGGAGGGGAGAAGGGGGAGGAGAAAGAGTGGGGGGGCACTTACCTCACAGGGTGGGCTGGGGCTGGCTCTGACCCACTCAGCCCCTCCCCTTCCAGGGGCCTGAGCTGGCCCCAGCGTACCGATAAGTCACTCGACTTACTTTCACCCCTGCCTGATCCCCTCTCTCAGCTACCAATCTTATCTACTTACAGCAAAGTGCTTATTCATAATGTCATTTCTCACTGGTTACACTGCTAATAGCTGCTTCCTTTAATTGGAAATTGAGAATTTCTTGTGGCACAGTGTGTCAGGGCAGCTTCCTGCGCCAGTGAAGAAGGAGTTAAAGAGCTCATAAATCTTTTAAGGATGGGTCCTCAAAAGGGGGGATCCAGGCTCATGCTGGGTGGCATCTGGTAAAAAAACTGCACTAGAGTACAGAGCTCCCTGGTCCCAGGCAACAGGCTGTCTACTGAGAAAACTGCTTGAGAGCACCAGCCACACTGAGCCCTCTGCTGAAAAAGAGGGACCAGCTTTTCCTTTCTTTTCTTTGTGAATCCCTGGGATTCAGCCAGGGTTGTTCGGACATGCAAGGGATAAGGAGCCCAGATCTTCCTCCCAAGGACTATTGGGCTTTACCCTACATGAGGCTGCAAGGACCCGGCCCATTTGTGAGCCATGGATATCTTTTGCCTTTTTCTTTTGGATTATTTTAGCCCCAGCCAGAAGAGGGCAAACTCCCTAAGAGTTCATAGAATCATAGAATCATAGAATATAAGGGTTGGAAGGGACCCCAGAAGGTCATCTAGTCCAACCCCCTGCTCAAAGCAGGACCAATTCCCAGTTAAATCATCCCAGCCAGGGCTTTGTCAAGCCTGACCTTAAAAACCTCCAAGGAAGGAGATTCTACCACCTCCCTAGGTAACGCATTCCAGTGTTTCACCACCCTCATAGTGAAAAAGTTTTTCCTAATATCCAATCTAAACCTCCCCCACTGCAGCTTGAGACCATTACTCCTCGTTCTGTCATCTGATACCATTGAGAACAGTCTAGAGCCATCCTCTTTGGAACCCCCTTTCAGGTAGTTGAAAACAGCTATCAAATCCCCCCTCATTCTTCTCTTCTGCAGGCTAAACAATCCCAGCTCCCTCAGCCTCTCCTCATAACTCATGTGTTCCAGACCCCTAATCATTTTTGTTGCCCTTCGCTGGACTCTCTCCAATTTATCCACATCCTTCTTGAAGTGTGGGGCCCAAAACTGGACACAGTACTCCAGATGAGGCCTCACCAATGTCGAATAGAGGGGAACGATCACGTCCCTCGATCTGCTCGCTATGCCCCTACTTATACATCCCAAAATGCCATTGGCCTTCTTGGCAACAAGGGCACACTGCTGACTCATATCCAGCTTCTCGTCCACTGTCACCCCTAGGTCCTTTTCCGCAGTTATGTATCCCAAGTACATAACACAGACTACAGTCATGCTGCCATCCAGAGAAGGATATCCAAGATAAGAGAGGGGCACCTCCCCCGCTTAACCCAGGGGGCAGTCAGAGAGATACAACTTATCACACACAGAAACAGGCAACAGATGATGGCAAAGACCAAAATAAAACAAAAGGTCCTTACCAATATTCTCACAAAACAACAGAGACAAAGTGAAACTCCCTTTCTTTCAACTATTTTTCAGGCCAGTGGTCAAACTCTAGTCAAGTTGCCCATGCTCCTCTTGACCTGCTGCTCACAAACAGGGAAGAACTGGTAGGGGAAGTAGAAGTGGGTGGCAACTGGGCAGCAGTGACCGTGTGATGGTCAAGTTCAGGATCCTGACAAAAGGAAGAAAGGAGAGCAGCAGAATATAAACCCTGGACTTCAGAAAAGCAGACTTTGCCCATCAGTCCCCTAAGGGAGTCAGAGTCCTCTGGGAGGCTAATATGAGGGGGAAAGGAGTCCAGGAGAGCTGGCTGTATTTCAAAGAAGCATTATTAAGGGTGCAGGAACAAACTATCCCGATGTATAGAAAGAATAGTAAATATGGCAGGCAACCAGTTTGGCTCAACAGAGAAATCTTCAGTGACCTTAAACACAAAAAGGAAGCTTACAAGAAGTGGAAACTTGGACAGATGACTAGGGAGGAGGATAAAAATATTGCTCGAGTATGCAGGGGTTTAATCAGAAAGGCCAAAGGACAATTGGAGTTGCAGCTAGCAACGGATGTGAAGGGTAAAAAGAAGGGTTTCTACAGATATGTTAGCAACAAGAAGAAGGTCCGGGAAAGTGTGTGAACCTTACTGCATGGGGGAGGCAACCTAGTGACAGATGATGTGGAAAAAGCTGAAGTACTCAATGCTTTTTTTGCCTTGGTCTTCACAGACAAGGTTAGCTCCCAGACTGCTGCACTGGGTAGCACAGTACTGGGGGGAGGTGAGCAGCCCTGGTGAAAGAACAGGTTAAGGACTATTTAGTAAATCTGGACATGCATAAGTCCCTGGGGCTGGATGCAATGCATTGGAGGGTGCAGAAGGAGTTGGCTGATGTGATTGCAGAGCTATTGGCCACTATCTTTGAAAACTCGTGGCAATTGGGGGAGGTCCAGGATGATTAGAAAAAAGCAAATATAATGCCCATATTTAAAAAAAGGAAGAAGGAGATTCTGGGGAACTACAGATGGGTCATCCTCACCTCAGTCACTGGAAAAATCATGGAGCAGGTCCTCAATCCATTTTGAAGCACTTAGAGGAGAGGAAGGTGATTAGGAACAATCAACATGGATTCACCAAGGGCAAGTCATGCCTGACCAACCTGATTGCCTTCTATGATGAGATAACTGGCTCTGTGGATAGGGGGAAAGCGGTGGATGTGATATATCTTGACTTTAGCAAAGCTTTTTATACGGTCTCCCACAGTATTCTTGCCAGCAAGTTAAAGAAGTATGGATTGGATGAATGGACAATAAGGTGGAAAGAAAGTTGGGTAGATCGTCGGGCTCAATGGGTTGTGATCAACGACTCGATGTCTAGTTGGCAGCCGGTATCAAGCGGAGTGTCCCAGCGGTTGGTCCTGGGGCCGGTTTTGTTCAACATCTTCATTAATGATCTGGATGATGGGATGGATTGCACCCTCAGCAAATTTACAGATGACACTAAGCTGGGGGGAGAGGTAGATATGTTGGAGGGTAGGAATAGGGTCCAGAGTGACCTCGACAAATTGGAGGATTGGGGCAAAAGAAATCTGATGAGGTTCAGCAAGGGCAAGTGCAGAGTCCTACTCTTAGGATGGAAGAATGCCCTGCACTGCTACAGGCTGGGGTCCAACTGGCTAAGCGGCAGTTCTGCAGAAAAGCACGGGGCGATTACAGTGGATAAGGACCTGGATATGAGTCAACAGTGTGCCCTTTTTGTCACAAAGGCTAATGACATATCGGGCTGCATTAGTAGGAGCGTTGCCAGCAAATCAAGGGAAGTGATTATTCCCCTCTATTCGGCACTGGTGAGGCCACATCTGGAGTATTTCATCCCGTTTTGCCCCCACCCCCCACTACAGAAAGGATGTGGGCAAATTGGAGGGAGTCCAATGGAGGGCAACGAATATGGTTAGGGGGCTGGGGCACATGACTTACCAAGAGAAGCTGAGGGAACTGGGCTTATGTAGTCTGCAAAAGAGAAGAGTGAGGGGGGATTTGATAGCAGCCTTCAACTACCTGAAGGGGAGTTCCAAAGAGGATGGAGCTAGGCTGTTCTCAGTGGTTGCAGATGACAGAACAAGGACCAATGGTCTCAAGTTGCAGTGGGGGAGTCTAGGTTGGATATTAGGAAACACTATTTCACTAGAAGGGTGGTGAAGCACTGAAATGTGTTACCTAGAGAGGTGGTGGAATCTCCATCCTTAGAGGTTTTAAGGCCCAGCTTGATAAAGCCCTGGCTGGGATGATTTAGTTGGTGTTGGTCCTGCTTTGAGCAGGGGGTTGGACTAGATGACCTCCTGAGGTCTCTTCCAATCCTAATCTTCTATTACTCTATGAAGATTCCAAGCTACGTTCAATGATTTAGTTGTATTTGGGGGGCTTAGTTTTGTTTTGGGGTAGTATGTAATGTCTAATGTCTACAGATTCTGAGCACATAAGCATGGAATTATTTATCTATTTCCTCTGGCAGAAAAATAAGAGAGGTGTTCTGGGCATTGACTTTGCAGCTGACAGTGTTGCTATAGTAAGAAGCCCATGGCTTCCCTGACATGTCCAAGCTATACTTCTTGCACACTAACAGGAAGTGTGCAAGGCAGCATTCATTTCAGTTCAAGTGCTGGAGATAACCTTCAACTTCCCCCACTTCTCATGTCCCTCCACAGCAGTTACCATCAGCAATTACCAGATTTCAAAACCTGTTGAAATGTTGGCTGGCAGCAAGGCCTGCATCAGCTGAGAGTGTAATGCAATATTGCACTAAGCTGACCAAGCTCACTGTGCTGGCTTGATCTGAACTTATATTAAGAACCCAATACTTGGATTATTCCAAAATAATAATTTCCCCTTTCTTTAGACAACAGGAAACATTTAATGGCTTCCCTTTAGTCATTAGGCCTAATTTGGTTTTTGCACAATATAGAGTCTTCTTTGCTGTCACAGCTGTTCCAAATAGAACAGAATATTCAAAGCAGGTAACAGAAGGGTGCTAATCTGATTTCAGTGATCAGCGTAGCTTAGTTCAAGAAATCGCTCTTTATTGCTTGCATTTCTTACCATGCACTGAATTGTCTTATCTGCCTCAAATACACTATTGTTTTGCTTCTTTATGTTATTGTTACAATTTATCATTAGCTATTCTATCACTCAGCCTTATGGAAGAGAGGGAGATCGAGAGAGATCAAAGTTCCTGCTTGCTAACCGTTTCAATTCACACTTTATATACAGTGCAGTACTCTCACTGTATAAAGTAGCCAAGTATTTGTTAAGTGATAAGCAAGTGTATGTTAAAAGAGAGTTTTTATAAAGAGCTTCTGTGGTGTGCAGTAGCCTTATATCAACCTTTTTACATACAGCTTCTTGCCTGAGTCAGCCTCCCTCCTCCTGTACGACCTTCAACCCCTTCCTCACTGAACGTACTTCTTTCAGCTTGCTTTCTCACATTAATCTCAGAGAAGGCTCTATTTGGTCTCACTTTATGACCTGATTATTTTATTTTAAGCAACAAAAATAAAAACAAACACAAACCAGAAAGTTCATGATCACTCTTTGTAGATTGCTATCCCAAGATCAATTTTGCCCTGTCCCTTTGTTTTCAGTTGGCTCCTCTCCTTCTCACCTCCCTCCCATACTCTCTGATTTCATCTGTTGAATTTAGGCTCATGACAGGCTCTAAAAACCTGATTGCTTAGAAGAGCAGGACAAGTTAGTTATAAGTACTATCTCGACAGATTAAAATGTCAGATTTCCTGCAATGGGGGAGGTGGGGAGTGGGCTGAGTAACATTATGCATAATACTGAGCTGTCAGTCAGGGGGCTGAAAGATAGTGGAGAAAAGAGAACTGAGGGTAGGGGAAGGGAGCAGGAGGAAGGGCAGAACACAGGAATAGAACTGATGATAAAACAATATGTAGAATAACAAAATGAAATAAGAGAGAGAAAATTTACAGTGATGGGCACTATGCTACATAGAACTGAATGTTTTAAGAAAAGTTCCCTGCCCTGAACAGCTTACAACCTAAATATGCAAACAACACCAACAAAAAGCAAAACCATGAAGAATGTGGGGAAGGGTGTAACAGAGAAGCTGCCAACTCTGCAAATGGAGAGGCTTCTTGCAATGCAGAGATTGCAGGTGAAGTATTGGCCCCAAGTACTGCTTGTTAATAGGTCTGTTTTAAGATGGGATTTTTGGAGGGAGTGAAGATGAAGGAAGAACAGCTTTACAGTTCCATATTCAGGGAAAAATCCTGAAATTTGGTTTTCCTTTTAAAGTTTATTACTGTAGGGTGTATATTGTAGGTACCAAGTGTGTCAATGAGGGGGATTAATGTGTGTAATTCCCATTAGTATTAATAGGAGCAAATCCCCTGTACATTAATGGGACAAAAGCTCCCTTTTAGTCTCTAAATTAATGCGGGGGGGACAGTTTCCAAAGTGTAATACAAGAATGATAAATTGCAGGATGCTTTTAAGAAAATCCCCTGATGCTGTTTGTGAGGAAATTGAATAGCAAAATATAATATTCTATGAACTAATACATGAGTGTTATCATCCCTTCTCATCTGAAGAAATAAAGTAATTTAGAAACTAAGCCAACCTGTTAATCTTGTTTTGGTGAGCAATATATCTAAAGACCCCTTGCTTCAATGCTAAAACAGATTTCCAGATATTTTTGGTTAAATTGCATTGTTTAAATGTTCTTCTCTAGCCGCTCAACCAAGTGCCTCCTCTCAACAAAGTAATATGTTGTATGCACATATCCAGATGCTCTTTACTGTATAAATAAGAACAGCATATATGGGATTTTACTTTATTTTAAAATTGGGAGGAAAAATGGAAAAGCAATTTCAGGTTTTCATAGGTGAAATATCAAACCTGTATTTAAAAGATAAAAGTTTTGGATTTAATTCATGGGAGGGGAAAATGGATTTGAGTTTTGCAGTTACTTAGTTTTCTTGTTGGAACAAGTTGATGTGGATCAGTGTTCAGTTGTGTCATCAATGCATGCATGCTCTGTCCTTCTGTTTCATTCTGGGGTCTACATGTGATTATACAGGAAAGGAACCATGCCACATTTATACAGCTTGTTATAGTGGCAAGAAGCAGCCAAGCTCCCTGGGCAAAGCAGGGAAAGTAGCTTCTTTCCAGGAGTTACGAATGTTGACAAGGACAAGAAATTTGGGACAAAATCAGATTTAAACCTAACTACAAGATTTATGTTCTGTGGATTGGAATCAGAGTTTATCAGTTTAATGCTAAAAAATACCATCTCTGTGTATAACCAAACTGGAGGCTGTTTTTAATCTCAGTAAATAAGGAGATATATAACTTAAGTACTGCACATTTTTCACAGAAAGCATGTTCATTGCCTTTCTTAGGATGAGAAAATGGATGCTGATGTTTCTGACATACAAGCGGCAGCTTTCTCCTCCAACTGGCGGACTAAAACCAGCTTTATGTCCAGCTCACTGCTTTCAGATTCAGGCTGTAAGTATTGGGTATCCTCTGTTTTTAAAACTATTTTAGTGGAATGATAGAGACCCCGTTGAAATCATCATAGGATTCTTGCTGGCTTTCAGCTTCAGGCACTGAATTTATCCTGTAGTTAGTGCTATGTCACACTGGGATTTTTTTCCATTTGGAAATACTGCATTTTGTCAGCAAAGTCCAGAAGAAAGAAAATTACATGCATTGTAATATGAATCCTGGAAGTGGGAACCTTAGCTTTAAAACACACTGCATTTCCAGGCCACATGCAAAATACCCAACCAAAGCACCCCATGCAGATTCCTATTAATTATTCTGTCTGACATTAGAGCCAGTGGAGTGTAACAGCAGAAGTAGAATTCCCTATCCATGACCTCCTTTTTGGAAAGTTGCTGTTTGGTTGCAACTTCTAGCCCACGAGTCTATGCATAACGGGTCACAAGAGGCTGCAGCGGTCTCTCAAAGAGGTAGTGATGTGATGAATGGGAGACCCTGAAGGGATCTTAAGCTCCAACTCTGATGAAGTTGCTTCTTTTTTGAACACTACTAAACCATCTCTGCCACAACTGACTTACAAAAATACCTCTGAAGAGATTTTTTGTTCTCTGGAACAGGCCAGTTTGCAGCAGGCATCAGATATTTTTTTAAAAAATCCTGAAGCACAATACTACCCCTACAATTTTGTCACACGCACCCCCCCCCAAATAATTTCAACATATACAGGTTGAATGCTGTACTATACATTTGCAACATTGTACTCTGTATTTTTTCTGAAACAGTGTCACAGTTCAGTGTTACCTGCACCTTTCATCCCTTTTTGGTCTCTCTGAGTGGCCCCAACACAGGTGTCAGAACAACGCTTCCTCAGCTCTCGTCCCCTAATGCCCCTACTCTATTTGCGCTATATTGATGACATCTTCATCATCTGGACCCATGGAAAAGAAGCCCTTGAGGAATTCCACCATGATTTCAACAATTTCCATCCCACCATCAACCTCAGCCTGGACCAGTCCACACAAGAGATACACTTCCTGGACACTATAGTGTTAATAAGCGATGGTCACATAAACACCACCCTATACCTGAAGCCTACTGACCGCTATACTTACCTACATGCCTCCAGCTTTCATCCAGACCACACCACACAATCTATTGTCTACAGCCAAGCTCTACGGTACAACCGCATTTGCTCCAACCCCTCAGACAGAGACAAACACCTACAAGATCTCTATCAAGCGTTCTTACAACTACAATACCCACCTGCTGAAGTGAAGAAACAGATTGACAGAGCCAGAAGAGTATCCAGAAGTTACCTACTACAGGACAGGCCCAACAAAGAAAATAACAGAACGCCACTAGCCATTACCTTCAGCCCCCAACTAAAACCTCTCCAGCACATCATTAAGGATCTATAACCTATCCTGAAGGACGACCCATCACTCTCATGGATCTTGGGAGACAGGACAGTCCTTGCTTACAGACAGCCCCCCAACCTGAAGCAAATACTTACCAGCAACCACACACCACACAACAGAACCACTAACCCAGGAACCTATCCTTGCAACAAAGCCCATTTCCAACTGTGTCCACATATCTATTCAGGGGACACCATCATAGGGCCTAATCACATCAGCCACACTGTCAGAGGCTCGTTCACCTGCACATCCACCAATGTGATATATGCCATCATGTGCCAGCAATGCTCCTCTGCCATGTACATTGATCAAACTGGACAGTCTCTACGTAAAAGAATAAAGGGACACAAATCAGACGTCAAGAATTATAACATTCAAAAACCAGCTGGAGAACACTTCAATCTCTCTTGTCACTCGATTACATACCTAAAAGTGGCAATTCTTCAACAAAAAAACTTCAAAAACAGACTCCAACGAGAGACTGCTGAATTGGAATTAATTTGCAAATTGGACACCATTAAATTAGGCTTGAATAAAGAATGGGAGTGGATGTGTTATTACACAAAGTAAAACTATTTCCCCATGTTTATTTCCCCCCCTACTGTTCCTCACACATTCTTGTCAACTGCTGGAAATGGCCCACCTTGATTATCACTACAAAAGTTTTTTTTTTCTCTCCTGCTGCTATTAGTTCACCTTACCTGATCACTCTCATTACAGTGTGTGTGGTAACACCCATGGTTTCATGTTCTCTGTGTATATAAAATCTCCCCACTGTATTTTCCACTGCATGCATCCGATGAAGTGAGCTGTAGCTCACAAAAGCTTATGCTCCAAATAAATTTTTTAGTCTCTAAGGTGCCATAAGTACTCCTTTTCTTTCAGCATAGGTGACAGGCCTTGAGTCCTCACCTCCTCTATGTGGAATCCTGTCGTTCTGTCACTCTTAAACTGTCACACAGGGGTGCTGCACTTTCTGTACCAACTATGATTGCTCAGCAGACCCAATGTGTTTGGCTACCTTGGTTCTTCCCTTCTGAGCCATGACCAGTGGTAAATAGTTACCCAAAACAACCTTTTTAAAACCAAGTATTGTTTAATCACAACAGTAGATACACAGCATGTCATGACAATAGGTTTTGAAACACAATAAGAGGTCTACACACATATCTGTTTTGTCTATAGGCTTAGGTAGGCAAGCTTATCCCAGATACCCCAATCTCTGGGAACTTGAAGTTCAGTCTGCTCCCCAGAGGAGTTATTTAAGTTAAGCACCAATGTGAACACAAGAACAAATGGCTATAAACAGGCTATCGACAAGTTTAGGCTCAAAATTAGGTGACAGTTTCTAACCATCAGAGGAGTGAAGTTCTGGAATAGCCTTCCAAGGGGAGCAGTGGGGGCAAAAAACCTAATTGGCTTCAAGACTGAACTTCATAAGTTGATCGAGGGGATGGTATGATAGGACTGCCTACAGTGATATACGGCCCATCAGTGACTGCCAGTAGCAAAAATCCCCAGCAGCCAAAGATGGGACAGTAGATGGGGAGGGCTCTGAGTTACTACAGATAATTCCTTCCCAGGTATCTGCCTGGTGGGTCTTGCGGACATGCTCAGGGTCCAACTGATCACCATGTTTGGGGTCAGAAAGGAATTTTTCCCCCAGTCAGATTGACAGAGACCCTGGAGCGGGGAGTTCACCTTCCTCTGCAGCATGGGGCACAGGTCATTTACAGGTTTAAAATAGTGTAAATGGTGAATTCTCTAACTTGAAGTCTTTAAACCATGATTGGAGGACTTCAGAAACTCAGCCAGAGGTTAGGGGTCTATTACAGAAGTGGGTGGGTGAGGTTCTGTGGCCTGCAATATGCAGGAGGTCAGACTAGATGATCACAATGGTCCCTTCTGACCTTAAAGTGTATGAGGTAAATGACCCCAATATTATCTTTTAAATACCAGCAAGTGGAGCTATCTGAAGCTATTGTTCTCTTTCCTGCACATGTGCAAATAACCCCTGCCTGAATTAACCTCTTGCAATCCTATAGCATGAAACACAATACCAATCAACCACAATATATAATATTCATAAAATATTACAGGCATCCCCATGTCCTTCACACAGAGTAGAGATATTCTCTGAGTGGCATTTATAGGAGTTTATTAGCCAAGTAATTTTTACCTACTTCAGCAGTTGTGGTTCTGAAAAACAATTTTGGAAAGTAAACAAATAGATTTACCAATCCCTTATTCTTCCTCTCTGACCCTAGATAGGGCTTCCTGCAGACTAATATAAATACAATGTTTTGGTTGGAACTCTTTGTTAAAATATTGGCAGACTGAAGGTTGCCAGACCCTGAGTGAGGATTATAGGCAGGCAGAAAGTGATGAGGGGATGGGAAACAATTTTATATTCCATCCCTCTGTGTGTGGAGTGGGGGTAAGATAGCTATGTAGAGAGGGAATTGGATTGCATCCACTTATGTTACCTGACAAAGGGCCTTGCAAAACTATGGGCCATCTCTAATCCTGTAAAGTGGTAATTAGCGCTTCCATAGCAATCTTCAATTTTATAGCACTTAGAAATGATATTGATTGTATAGGTTTCAGAGTAACAGCCGTGTTAGTCTGTATTTGCAAAAAGAAAAGGAGTACTTGTGGCACCTTAGAGACTAACCAGTTTATTTGAGCATAAGCTTTCGTGAGCTACAGCTCACTTCATCGGATGTATGGGATTATCATCTTCCTTTCATCATACTACTTCTGTTACAGTCCTTGGTTATGAATCCTTGACAGTCACCTCTTAATTTAGTATCAATCAGATGAAACACTATAACATACTTCTGTGAAACCCTACAGAAAAGCTAACAATTTATTCCCCCTTGGTCTGCTGCTCCAGCACATCTGAGCTCTTATATCTACACAGCACAAGGAATCTCGCCACAGAATCAGCAGAGATACTCTTTTTTTTTTTTTTTAGGTGGAAGTCCTGACACAGTCTGTCTTGCAGTGCAATCTAGTAACTACCTCTGACATTCTATCAACTATCTCAGTGTTGTAATTGAAATCAATATATTTGAAAATGTAGAAAAAAATCCAAAAATATTTACAATAAATTTAAATTTGTATTCTATTATTGTTTAACAGTGCGATTAAAACTGTGATTAATCAAAACTATTTTTTAATCTAGTTGATTTGTTTTGCATTAATCGCTTGAGTTAACTGTGATTAATTGACAGCCCTACTTTGCAGTGATGGGAATAAATACAAACGTGGAGTCTGTGTTTGTGTATTATTACATCTATCCTTGATTAAATTTGATTTTCTTCCAAATAAGAACTGGAATCACAATTAGCAACAATCATTTTTATAACATTAATGGATTTCTGTATGGGAAGTAGCAGTGGTCTACCTGATTCAGGGGACTGGTAATGGGATAAAAATTCTATCACCTCTAGATCACTGGTTCAAGTCTACGTCAATAATGGTGAACATCATGAGGTCCTGGACCTCTGTCCAGTGCCTAGTGAAAAGGGGCCATATCAAAATATCACAACCACATGAGGCAAAGAGAGCAAAAATTGAATG